TATATATATAAACTTTATGTATTTAAAGATAAAATTGTTATTGTAAATTATATGTTAGATAGAAAATGTACTTGAAGGAAAACAGCAATTGCATACAGATGAAGTACAAGTCTATAGCAAAGGACATAAGTACGATGCCCGAGATGTAAGTATCCACTCTGCGTGTAAGAGTCGCCAAATGATTATAGTCATTTCTGGCTTCAGCCCACCACCATTCCGGCATCGCCTTAACGAAATAATAGCGACGAGTTGTTAGTAGAAGCAAAGATTTTCATGTTGTAATCAATGATTTTTTTTCTCGATTAAAGTAACACATTGAGCTACTCTGCTTGAGTGTTCCTGTGTATCATTTTACTCTTGTTTACCAAACGTTACACAAGAAAAATCATACACAGGACTACTCAGGTGGTTTTTTTTTCAACACGTCCCTTCTCTCTAAAACTTTCCGAGTGAATTGTCACTCCAAAGAGTGAAATCTTTTTTTCTCTTAAAAATTGAAAATTAAACCACTCTCTTCAAGACTACTGAATCAACTTTCACTCTTTAAAATGACCTTCCACTCCAAAGAATTTAGAGGGTTTACATTAACAATTAAAATATAGTTTGAATAAATGCTCAAAAAAAAATTAATAAGTATTATTCAGTGAGTATTTAATTTAATTGTTAACAATATAATAGATATATTTAATACTCAAAATAAATAATTAATTATCAACCAATTTAAAATACTTAAAGTACTTATTAAACTTCTTTAAGAAAAAAAAATACGTGCGTGTGAATATTAGGAAGATAAATAAAGTTATTCATAGCCGAAGACAAATATCTTATAACAGATTGCACTATACCTTTCCCCGTATCGAAAAGAGGCGGCGGTTTAACTGTCTGAATTGATCCGCCAAAGCTATGCTGATAAGAATAAGAAACAGATCGACAAAATTCCATGAGAATGTGCTGAGAATATTTAAAGTTTCAATCACGATCCCTTTCCAGAGACTGTAGGATGATTTTGTGAAGATCTGTAAAAAAAATACTGAACAATTAATGATACATTGATTCAACAATCATTAAAAGCACATGCATCATCTTTCATCGAGCTTTTGTTTTCATTTAAAGAGAAAAAGAGTGAAACAATGTGTTTTTTAACGTTTTTTTAACGTTTAAAAATAAATTTGATTCTGAAATGCAATAAAATTATGAATTAAGCATGTCTAGTATATTACCTGAGGGAATTGTGATATGAAATAAATACCAGCAACATCCGTGTCATCGAAATACGCTGCGCATTCTAATGCACTGGTGTACCCAGCCATCACAGCGGCAGAGTGTTCTCCTATATAAAAATATATTAATATTATTAGGTTAATCAAATATTAGTTTAATTTTGATGATTAATAGAATAATGTTTACTTAACTTATTCAGGATAATAAAAATAACGATTTTTTAAGTCACTTTTGAAATAAGGAATTAATATACATTAACATACAACTTTGACATTCAAGTAAAAGTAATTAAAATAACTAAGTAAAAATTATACGTAATTTATACAAGATAAATTAGGTTTGATAATATAATTTTATTTACATCAAAGAAGTCAACTCAATTACAATTCCATAGAATTGAAAATAATATGCGAAATAAAATGCGTAAATGCCTACGTAATCTTTATCTTGATCTACAATCAGCGCTTACCAAACGCGAGTACCATGACGACAAAGGTTACAATTTTGAAACGAGTTGCGAGACTGGTCTTCGAAATCCGCCGATGTTTTGAGGTGAATTCACGTTCCAGTTTTTCCCAAGTTAACACTAGGCAAGGCCAGTGCATTGCCAATCGTATAAACAGGACTGCGGTTATCAAAGTCGTGACAAAGAAAACGAAAGTCGCTGGTAATTAAGATAAATATCGTTTAGAAACAACGGAAATTGTGTTCCTACATTCAATGTTTCTTGTATCCATAACGAGGCTTACTTACTCATTTTCGTAGAATTTACCCCCGAGGTGACTAAACGATGAATATTGCCGACTGTCAGGACAGACGTTCCTACAATAATGCTCACCGCGTAAAAGATTTTCGGGTGGTACCATGTAAATCTACAGGACATTCATGAAGACTCGTGAGAATTTCGATTAGAAAGAATGTTAAAAAATCTGAGAATGTTAAAAGGAGCAAATAGTAAACAATTCGTGTTTATTTCAACCAATGTAGATTACTTTAATCTCGGTTTAACTTTTTTCTTTTTCTAATTCTAAAAATTAGAAGAAGATAAAGAATAAATTAAACCAAGACTAAAACCTACATTGGTTGTAATGAACAGGTTTATTTCTACCAATATAAGGTAGATTAACTTTAATTTCAATTTAATTTACTCTTTATCTTTATATATAAAAAAATCAAGATTAAAACTAAT